ATATATATATAAAATAAAGAAAAAGGAAAGGGAATAAGAAAAAAAAAGGAAATTGTCGGTAAAAAAGGGAAAAAGAAAAAAAAAAAAGGAAAAAAGAACGGGAAAGAAAGGATTTTGTTAGGAGACGGGCTAAACAAGAGTATTAGGGTTTTCAATCTAGTTTTTCGAATTTGCAGTTTGGTTCTAAAGTTATTTTAACCTAGTTTTAGGAGACGGGCTAAACAAGAGTATTAGGGTTTTCAACCTAGTTTTTCGAATTTGCAGTTTGGTTCTAAAGTTATTTTAACCTAGTTTTTAGAATTTGCAATTTAGTTTTTCGAATTTGCAGTTTGGTTCTAAAGTTATTTTAACCTAGTTTTTAGAATTTGCAATTTAGTTTTTCCTTATTTACCTTGCACCAAAAGGTAGAGTTGAAATTCCCACATTCGATCCTAGGACCTTGCACCAACTTACCACCTCCGGAACCAGTTGAGCTACACCCATGCGGGCAATTTTTTTATTTTTTTTCCTTATTTACCTAACTACATTTTAACCGTGCGGGATATTATTTCAAAAGTGAAAAAAAAAATCAATTTAATATATAATAAAAAAATATAGCGCACTAACATAGTAAAATTTAATAATGTAGTATTATAAATGTTACGTATTAAGATGTAACAAATCGAATGTCTATATTTATCTCTTAAGATTTGAGATATATAGATGAAAATAGGAAATTGACAGTTGTTGAAAATTATAGTTAGAAATTAGTACAAAAAAAATATTAAAAATAAATAATTACAGAAATATCAGTAGGGCTTTTTAGGATTGCCAAGCGTTTCTTTCTTTTATATATAAAATATTTCCACCAGTTACAATAAAAGATCCATCAATTGAATAATTTAGTGAAAAAAATATTTTATTAAAGTAAAAAAATATAGTTTTTTTTAAAGTAATTTGGTGTCATTTTTATTGTTCGCACTTTGCGCGCTCAAAATTAAATTGGAGGTTGAATAGTATAAATTTTTTTTTTTTTAGTTTTCATCCAGGAAAAAAGAATGAATAATAAATGAAACTAGTAACTCACCCGTGCGATGCACGGGGATTAATTCAAAAACTTAGAATGAGTTAATGTAGAAAACAAACGAATAAAAAATATGTCAAGAATGTAAAGAATACAATTGAACAATAAATAAAAAATTTGTATCTTAATTTATCAATCTAAAGTCTCGTTAAAAAATAAACAGACAATGTTCTAAGTATCATCCACGTTGAAATGTAGCAAGTAACTCCGAGACTGAAATCAAAGTAATGCACCAGTCTTGCACATTAATCTGAATTTTGTTAAAGAAGACCACGGAACTACAATCAGATCTACAACCAGAGGACGAATAACCTGCTATTTTTCATCACTTTCAATATATCAGTCAAAGGCTTTGCGAAGATTGAGAATAAACATTTACACCCCCATATATATATATATATGCAT